AGCGACATTCTTCAGCAATTCGTTTTGAAGTAACTTCCCGCCACTATAAAAATATGAACTCCACTTCCCCTGTTGAATAAATAAAAAGAAATAGCAGGAGGATAAAAAAAAAAAGTTATGGCGTGGTGTGATTTCACTTTTTTTTTTAATTTGAAACCCTTTAAAATATAATAGAATTTAAAATTTTGTTAGACTTAGATGTAAAATTTTAATTTTATACAGGAATTTATATTACTTAAATAGTTATTATTATTATTATTTTTGAACATATCTATAATATAATTTAAGGTGAGAAAATTTGAATTTTAACTAAAAGATGTACTTTATAAATTAACTTATATTTGTCAGACTGTGAGATTTAGATATTGTAAATAGTTATTATTTGTAAATATATATCCCTATAAAAAGATATTATTTATAAATATATTTTTTGATTATCAAAAATCATATTTAAAATTCATATATATTTTTTCAAGTTTAAATTTAATAGAATAAATTAAAAAATCTAAAAATAATAAAAATATTATTTTTTGATTTTCACTTTACTTTTACTTACACAGTGTGCCGATGAAAAAGTATACCTTTATGAATTAATTTGCGTCTAAGTTTCCATACTTTCTTAACGTTGGGGGTTTTTTTTTTCTTTTTTGGCGCAACGTAGGATGTTAATCTTTCCAAACTATTTAACTTCCCCTAAATCTGTAACTAAGTTTTCCCCTAAGTTTTCTGGGAAGAAAAATGACGAACAAGCTCAAAGTGGTGGAGCTACGCGCCGAACTCGCCAAGCGCGGCCTCGACGCCGCCGGAACCAAGCCCCTTCTGGTCTCCTCGTCTTGCTCTGTGTCTAAGTATGTACTCATTCACTGCATCCATACAACTGATTGCGATTTTGATTTTCGGATTTTTGACAGGTCCGGAGGCTTGAGGAGGCTGTGCTTAAGGAAAACCAGAAACCTGTGGTCGATAATGTGAATGGTGCTGATGCTGATACTAGCAGGAAGAGAAGGAAGGAGTCTAATGATGAAGATTCGAACAAGGTCAAGCCTGTGGGAGATAATGTCAATGGCTTCAGTGCTTCTGATGGTGATAACAACGAGAAGAGAGAAAGGGGGTCCGATGATGGAGACTTGAACAAAATTGAAGCAGTTGAGAAGTTTCGGCAAATGAGCCTTAAGCAATTACGTGAGCAAGCCAGTCTTTTGGGGATTCCTGCAACTGGCACCAAGAAAGAACTTCTAGAGAGGCTTTGTAAAGATGCAGAGATGGGTTCAGATTATGGTACTTTTCAATTTTTTTTTTTTTACTTTGTGTTCATTTTTTCTTTATTTATTGATGAGAAGTTTATGTTGGGAGATACATGTTAAGGTTTTGTATTTTGTTGCATTTAACTTAAGAGTATGAAAAATGAGGAGGAAATTGTTATGCTCAATGTTATAGTTTCACTGAGAGTGTGGAATATTTTCGAAACGTTCCACTGGCAGTTAATGAAAAAGAGGATGACAGTAAGGGCGGAAGAGTTGTCACAGCCATCAAGAAGGCTTCAGTGGTTCTGGATCAGGGGCTTCCTGATGATATAAAGGCAAAATACCATGTTCTGCAACAGGCAAGTTTTACAGTTTTGATTGCGTTTTCCAGCATTAAGCCATTTACTTTAGTTGGATTTGCATCTTGAAAGCCAAATAATTTTAATTTTTATAAATTTTGTTTGCCACATTTGTATTTGTAAATTTTCTTTTTATTTAATTTTTAGTGACTATTGTTTGATCTTGCAGGGTGATGATGCCTATGATGCCATGTTAAACCAAACAAACATTGGAGATAATAATAACAAGTTCTATGTGATCCAACTCCTAGGTCAGTTCTCAGTTGTTATATGATTGATATGCTTATTGCATGCAGAAACCTTATTATCTGAAATCTGTAAATTTAGGATTAGAGATTGAGTGAAGACAATGAGGGTTTTAGATTTCAATTTTGTTGGTTAAGCACAGTCTGATTGAATTATA